ATATATATATAACTGTTTTTGTAGTTACCTGGAAATTACAACACACGTCCTCAACATTAATGTCAAATATAAATTTTTCTCCTGCCCTAACATTTTAAGTACATTTATACACTTGCTGTCTTGTTGTGCTTTTAATTCCGAGGAAAGCCCAGAAGACATTATTAATGTTTCAAATAGTCAATATTTAGATTTGCCCAAATATTGTCTTTCTGTTGCTCTTCATTTCTGCATCTCCAACATTACAACTGGAATAACTCCCCGTCTCCCTGAAGAACTTGCCTATAGTACTGGCATGCTGGCAATAATAAATTCTCTCAGATTTGATTGGTCTAAAAATGTCTTTCTTTCATCTTCTTTCCTGAAGACATTTTCACTGGCAATATAATTCTAGGTTAGCAGTTATTCCTTTTAATATCTTAGTGATAACATTTCATTGTCTCTGGCTTCCATTTTTTTTCTACTGAGAAGCAGCTGTCAGTCTTATTTTTGCTCCTCTAAAGTTGATGTCTTATTCTCTGGCTGCTTTCAATATTTTGTCTTTTGTTTATAGCAGCATGGCTAGAGTGAGTGTGGGAGTAGGGATTTTTTTTGCATCTATCCAGGTTAGGTTCCATAGTACTTCTTCATTCTGTGGACTGATGCTTTTAATCACTTTTGGAAAACTAAAAACCACTGTATCTTCAAATATGGTTTCTGCTCCATTCTTTCTCCTCACCTGGTTCTCCGATTACAAGTACATTAGACCTTTTCATTGTACAGTCATCCCTCAGGATATGCAGGGGATTGGTCCCAGGACCCTCATGTATACCAAAATCCGCACACACTCAAGTGCTGCAGTTGGCTTTGTGGACCTACCTATACAAAAAGTTGGCCCTGTGTATATACAGGTTTTGCATACTTGCAAACATCATATTTTCCATCCATGTTTGGTTGGAAAAATTCAGTATATAAGTGGACCCAAGCAGTTCAAACCCATGTTGTTTGAGGGTCAACTGTATTCTACATGTAGCTTAAGTCCTTTTCTATATTTTCCATTTTTTCTATGCTTCAGTTCAGTTATACACATAAATATTAACAACACACATCATATATATATATTTACAAATGTAAATAAATTCATTTATACTTAGAGTCACAATTTTATGGTTTCTAGATCTGCCAAAATTATCCTGTTTATGACTCTGAACATATATTAAGCATAGATACTTTAAAATTTGTATCTAGTATCTCCAATATCTGGATGACCTAAGGGCCAGGTTCCATTGTCTTGTTGTTGGGTTCTAGTCATGTGTCATAGCTGCAAGCATGCCTAATTATTTCTGAATGAGTACAGAAGATATTTATATGAAAACATATACAGATAATTTAAAGTTGTAGATGATGTCATCTTCTCCAGGGAATATTTACTTTCACTTCTGTCAGGAAACTAAGGTAGGGGCAGTAAAAATTCCAGATCCCCTTCCTCCAATCAAGGAATGGGATGATTAGAAGTTGAGCTTCAGTATTCTTGGGAGCTATGTCTACTTCCATTTCACACTTCCTTCTACAGTGAAACCCATATCCATAAATTTCATACCTAACTTCCAGGATAGCACCTTCCTTAATAAACACTTAATACAAACTCTTAGCAAAGGTTCATCCCATATTTCATACCAAATTCCATGTCAAAAGCTGAATTCACACAAATTTCCCTCCAGAAAGTGTCTCTATTCCACACTTCCTATCTCATTTTCCCATCCTCACAACCATTAGGACCCAATTAGTCAACAAGATGTCTTCATGTGGACTTTAAATCACCTACATTGCCTTTCTCAAGATAAGCTTTATCTCAGCATCTTCAGCAGACAACATAGTTGAGTCACCTAAATCCATGCTACCGTCATATGATTACACTAAAGCCAATCAGTGCATAGCATTCTTCTTACAAGTTTTATTTGTCTGGAAGTAAACATGTGCCCAAAAGTGTCCCAAGAAACTGAAAAGGACTTACATTCCATGGTTGGGGAGAGGTTTTCCTCTCTTTCTTGTCAAATGGACAAGAAATCATGTTGCCCTGATTGTCACCGTCAGCATTCTTATGACCACAAGTGGAGCCAGTGTGAAGATAAAGTGGACACTGAGGATGGCAGAATGGAGAGAGAGAGATAATCCATGTCCATAATGAAATCACTGAATTGCAAGCCATACGACTCCTACTTCTGGATTTTCAATTATGTGAGATTATTTTTCTATGGTTTAAGTCAGTTTGAGAAAGGATTGTCTGTTCTTTGCTCTTGAAACATTTCAACTTCCTTTTATCCATACTGTCTCCCACCATCCACATAACCATATCTACCCAAATAGCACTAGAATGAAGTTTCAGAAAAACAAATCTGAATAAGTCATACCTTTCAATCCTTCGAATTTTTAAAAATCCTTCAAACTACACAAATCATATTGAGTATCCCCTATGTATTATATATCTACTGTGCAAGGCACTGGAGAACCAATGACAAATAAGGTACAGATATATACACACACACACCTTTTGCCCCTCGTGGAGTTTAGTCAGGTATGGGAAAAAGACAATATACAAAAAATAAATATCTAAACTTATATGTGACAGACAATAATGAGAAATGCCTACTTTTAGATGGAGTAGTAAGGAAAAGACTAATTAATGTCAAGGAAGCAACATTTCAAGCTGGAACTTGAAAAATGGGAAGGAACTAGCCATTAAAGTTTACCAGGGGAAAGCAATTCCAGACAAGTTCCAGGGAAAGGGGACTATACCATGTAACTTCGAAGGAAAAAACAACTGGTATTCTAGGAACATCATACAATAGTAGACCAAATTACATAGAGTGATCATGAAAAAAGAGGTATGACATAAATTAGAAAACTTGGCAGATACAGATTTCTCAAAATCTGGTAATAGAAGCTAAGGCTAATGTAGTCAAGAATGTTGTCTTCTCGTTTTGAGAAGACAACATTGTAAACTAGATTTTATTTTCCACAATTTCAACAGGAAGCCTTCAAACATACTGATGTGCCATGTGTCATATATATCACACATGTACATCTGTATGTATGGCATATACATACATTTTCTTTATGTTCGCATGATAAATTCTGAAATCATCATCACTACTTGAAATCATTTTATAAGCAGGGAAAGATATAAATAAATAGTTAAACACACTCCTTGTCAGGGCATTGAACAGCCTTTCATGACCTAGAAAAGTGGTTCCCAACTTTGTCTTCAGATTAGAATCATCTGGGGAGCTTTAAAAATATTAATACCTACATCCTACCCTACAAAAATTCTGTAGACAATCTAGACACTGGTATATGTAAAAAGTACCCAGGCAATTCTATTATACGGCCAGGATTGAGAACAACTATACAAAAAGGTATCTTTCTAGCATCCTCACAACTCCTATGCACCTACAGCAATTTCTTGAATATATATTTTCACTCTTTTCATATGTTTTTTGTGGCCAGAAATCACCTTCACTTTTACAGTTAACACATTTGAATGCTCATTTTCTAAGGATCTCCATAACCACAAAATCCTCATTACTGTGCATATTAACTATTGAACTATAATAGCAATTGTCAGAATATCACTTTGAAAAACAAAAAAATTTTTAAAACTCTTCCTAGTAACCAGCAAAAGCCAGCTGCCTCATAAAAACATACTGACTTATTTCATACTACTGAGTATTTAATATCTGGCTAAAAGTCTGTTTAATATATGGGTAAGTACAATACATAAAAAATATCATTCACTACTTAAGAGGTCAATATTATTTTTAGATTTGAGCTGGAGTAACATATTACAGATATCAAAATGTTCTTTGTAGAACATTAGAGATAAGTATCATTTCCTTTTTAGTAAGCACAATAAATACAAAATACAATTAAGCCCTGCCACAGCTCTTAACTCAGAGTCTACGCACTACAGGTTGTGTCACAGATGAAAAGGCATTTGAGTTCAGTGCTTCCAATAAAAAATGTCTTTATATCAGTCTTAAACATGCTGATCTTGATCCTAATTCTACACCAAAATAAACTTTATTATACCAAGGTTCCAGAAAACATGACAAAAGAATTTTTTGGACACTCATCTCCAATCAATGTGTAATATGAAAATTACTTCATATTTGTTTAAGAATCTACGGTCAGCATGAGTTGGAAAATCCACACTATTCTATTACATCTTAATTTTGATAGCTTTTATTCTTTATAACTTTGGCAGGCCTTTTGTTGACTCATAGGAGGAGTGTACTCCTAAGCAAAAATATAAAGTAGATACCCCAAGACTTCCATTTCAGGCATTTTGCTGAATTACATACCACGGCCTACTATTTCATCAACTTAGAATTCAATGCAAGGCAAAAATACCTTTCAAGAATGAAGGAAATATAAAATACTTTCAAACAAAAAAAAAAGTTCCACCTTTAAGGAAATTCTAAAAAAAATAGTAAGTACTTTAGGCAGAAAATATGAAATGCAAACAAATCCAAGTACAAAGAAAGCAATAAATGTGAATAAATCCAAACAAACACTGATTGGGAATTAGCAGTATACAGATGGTGGCTGAAGTCATGAGCCTTCGAACACACATACATACATATACACATATATATAGTCTCATGTATAATTAATGAATTCCTAGTATGTGATTGTATCTTTCCCAAAACAGTAACTTGATGTCCTTTAATGTCAGGCTAAAACCTACACATATGCAGAGATAAGAAAACTTCAAGAAGAAATATCCACCAGCACAACTCTCCCTTCTCATTCTGCTAATTAGGAACCCAGCGTGCCATCAGTAGCATATCCCCTGCTTGCTTACTCCCTGCTTAGAGGGGTGTATTATCTGGTTATGTTCTGCTTATAAATCAACTGAAAAATAAGAAAGCAGATTCTGTTACCACTTCAATAATAGAAAGTCAAAAAGTAATGCTCCTAAAGCAAAGTGAGCACAGATTCACTGCTTCTACCAGCAAAACACTGTGGAATCAGACTTGCTTCCAGTACAATTTTATGCTCTTCCTGCGGGTATGGGGGTGAGGGAAGGTAGTAGACAAGACACATAGATAAGCTTTTGTTACATCCTCTCCTATACACTTACATGTCTCCCGACCTGGCACGCCAAAATAAATAAGTTCCTCCCTTCCTATTACATGTACATCTTCATACCAAAGATATGATGAGTATGTTACTGGAAGGTATATATAAAAAACACTTCCCAAAGAGCAGAATAACTTGTGCTCCAAAGTGTTGATATTATTACTTTCCTGGGACACAGCATGCCAGCATTCTAGGTACTTATGGGAAAACAACAGGGGGCAGAATTGTTAAGCAGGTTTGAGAAAATCCACATGGTGGTTTTGGGCAGTGAGCAGACAGTGAGTTTACCAACTGTTCTAAAGATTTAGAAAAGTGTGTCATGATACAATGGGGAATCACTAAAGAGCTGAGAGTAACGGAATGATTGGTTTCATGGTTTCCAGTAGTTCTTCCTCTCCCTCCAACAAAACAGAGGTTTTTAAAGGATATCTTTTGTGAAACTAAGATCAGAGAGAGACAAAAATCATGAACACATGTACAAATGGAAAATGCTATCTTTCACTGTCAGAAGGCTTAAGACTCCTCAAATTGGTCCTACCCATGGTCTGAAAAAGCCCCTCTCTTGACCATGGGAACAAGGGTAGAATTTTGATTTTTACTTAAAAGAAAACAATCTACCAATATTTAATATTCAGATTTGACACTGGCTCTCTCCAAATGCGTATATCCAAACGTCACTAGCAAAATACTGCCATTTTTCTTATTCCTTGTACCTGATCTATTAAAGGCATGTCAGTTAATAAGGAGAACATTTTGAAAATATTTAGAATAGTTTCCCTCATGCCTTAATTGTCTTGTACCAACTGTTTAAAAAAGTTCTCATATTTCCACACTTAAACTTCAAAACCAATACTTTATATTAAGTTTTTAAATCATTCCAATGAAGAGTTTTGGTGTTTTTAATGAGATTTAAAAATGAAAAAAATGCCTTTTATATTTACTCACATATTTACCATTTCTGGCATTCTTCATAACTTTGAGTAGTTCCAACTGCTCATTTAGTAACATATTCTTTCTGCCACAAATAACTACAACACTTTCTGTAATACAGCTCTACTGACAATAAGTTCTCTAGATTCTCTGTGTGAAAGCTTTTATTTTGGCTCCATTTCTGGAAGACATTTTTGTTATGTAGGGAACTGTAGATTGATAATTATTTTCTTCCAGGCTTTAAGCTTTTCTCTTTATCATAGGTTTGCACCAAATTTATCATCATGTGGCATAAAATGGTTTCCTTTGTATTTCTTCTGCTTTGGGTTCATCGAACTTCTTGGATTGTTACACTTAACATCTTCACCATATCTGAAAATATTTCAGCCATTATTTCTTCAAATATTCTTTGTGTCCCTACTATCTCACCTTTCCATCAGGTACTCCAATTACACATAAGACCATCTGATATTGTTACTTAGATAACCAATATTCTGTTCACTTTTTCCTATACATTTTGGATAGTTTCTATTGCTATGTCTTCAAGCTCACTAATACTTTCTTCTGCAATCTCCAATCTGCTAGACATTCCACTCAGTATTTTCACTTCAGATGCTAAATTCTTCATCTCTAAAAGTTCGATTAAGGTCTTTCTTGTATTTTCCAGTTCTTATACCATCGTGTTCATGTTTTCTTCTACCTTTTTAAACACAGGGGAAATATTTATAATAGCTGTCTTGATGGCCTTGCTTACTATTAATATTTCCACCATTTCTGTCATTTCTAGCTGTTTCTATTGACTTATTTTTCTCCTGATTATTGGCTGCTATTTTCCCGCTTCTTTTCCATCCAACATTATAATGGATGCTGTGAATTTTACACTTCAGTACAAGATTTTGTTATATACTTTTAAATTGTTGAAATTGTTCTGTAATTAATTGGCTCTGTTTCGAAGACAGATGCAGAGAAGCCTTT